CACAGGCACACAAACACACACACAGACACAGACAAAGCAATACCTCAATTGGGAAATTTCTTGACAATTCCTTTTTGGTCGAAAACGTTTAGTCAAAACCTTATACTGTACTGTCCAGGATTGTGTCCCACAGACACCATCTCCGTTACATCTCCGTTACTGCCTTGCCCTACATGTAGGATTATTGACACATCAAAGAGCAAAGCGACACTCTCACCGGAAGGGCTAATTATGGAGAAATTTACCCTCTGGCTTCTTACGTCAATCTAGTCGGAAACAAAAGGGTGGGAGCAAATCATGGCACATCTGTACCTATGTTTGTGTTCATGTTTATGTTCTAGTGTCTTATAAGCCCATATGGGCTGGGCGACAAAAGTTGCAAGACACCTAAATAAAAATTCATTCATTCATTCATTCATTCATTAATTGATTCATTCATTCATTCATTCATTCATTCATTCATTCATTCATTCATTCATTCATTCATTCATTCATTCATTCATACATTCATTCATTCATTCATTCATTCATTCATTCATTCATTCATTCATTCATTCATTCATTCATTCATTCATTCAAGGAGGGTCAATGACCGATAAAGAACGGGCACTGACCATGTTACGTCAAGTACAGTCAGGGACGAAGAAATCACTCAACAAGTCAAGGACAGTTAGACAAATACACACAGTGAGTGCTCTTCCCAGGTCCAAATTGTGTCTGCACCCGAAACAAATTCAAGAATAACATTCGGTAGTATAAAAATGACTTTTGAAAACTTATCCAAGACAAAATACTATCTCTTTAAGTTTACCTCAATATCCACAAACTGGAAAGGTTGTGACACCCATAATTATAAGGAGGAGGAGCTTGTCAATCCTTCAACACATATCTTCAGGGACTGGTGAAGAAAAGAAAAGACGCTCCATTGTTATAGCTGTCATAGTCATCCATCTTACAAAAAGTGCAGTGAGGAAGAAAGGAGTCTGGCAACAAGTCAAGGACAGTTAGACAAATACACACTGCTCTTCTCAGGTCCAAATTGTGTCCACACTCAAAACGAATTGGAGAATTGCGTGACTTAGAGGGACTGCCATCTTGAGTGTTTATGCTTATAACTTTCAGTAGTATCAAACGACTTTTGAAAAGTTATCCAAGACAAAATGCCATCTCTTTAAGTTGACCTCAATGTCCACAAACTGGAAAGGTTGTGACACCCATAATTATAAGGAGGAGGAGCTTGTCTTCCTTCAAAACATTTCTTAAGGCGCTGCAGCTGAAGAAAACAAAAGACGCTCTACTATCATAGCTGTCACAGTCATCCATCTTACAAAATGCGCAGTGAGGAAGAAAGGAGTCAGGCAACTAGTCAAGGACAGTTAGACAAATACACACTGCTCCTCCCAGGTCCAAATTGTGTCCACACTCAAAACGAATTGGAGAATTGCATGACTTAGAGGGCCTGTCATCTTGATTGTTTAATATTCGAATAACTTTCAGTAGTATAAAAATGACTTTTGAAAACTTGTCCAAGACAAAATAATACTAGTATCTCTTTAAGTTGACCTCAATGTCTACGAACTGGAAAGGTTGTGACACCCATAATTATAAGGAGGAGGAGCTTGTCATCCTTCAACACATATCTTCAGGGCTGCTGAAGAAAACAAAAGACGCTCTACTATCATAGCTGTCACAGTCATCCATCTTACAAAATGCGCAGTGAGGAAGAAAGGAGTCAGGCAACTAGTCAAGGACAGTTAGACAAATACACTGTTCCCAGGTCTGAATTGTGTCCGCACTCGAAACGAATTGGAGAATTGCATGACTTAGAGGGACTGCAATCTTGAATGTTTATGCGAATAAATTCAGTAGTATAAAAATGACTTTTGAAAACTTATCAAGACAAAATACTCTTGATATAAGATCAAGGAGGGTCAATGACCGATAAAGAATGGACGCTGTCCATGTTACAAAAAGTGCACTCAGGGACGAAGAAATCACTCAACAAGTCAAGGACGGTTAGACAAATACACACTGCTCTTCCGAGGTCTGAATCTTATCTGCTGTAACAAACACTTCTTGGACCACTTCTTGTGGGTGTAGTTCTTGTATTGCTCCTAGACCGCACTAAGTCTTATTTCAACACATTCAATATATTATATTTTTAACTACTTATTAGGTATATTTGAATTATGCTTAACCTTCTATATTGATGTATTTTTATATTTGTCGTTATTGACCATGTAAATTTTGATGCTGTATATGTGTTTTTGTATGGGGGAGGGCAACTTGTAAAGGTCGTATGCACCTGTTTTGCCCTCCCTTTCACTTTGTGAAAAATCAAAATAAACAAATAGACAAACATCCAACACAGCATGTACTTGTGTTACGTGGTACTTGCATGTACTTGTGTTATGTGGTACTAGTATGTACTTGTGATATGAGGTACTAGTATGTACCTGTGTTATGAGGTACTAGTATGTACCTGTGTTATGAGGTACTAGTATGTACTTGTGATATGAGGTACTAGTATGTACCTGTGTTATGAGGTACTAGTATGTACTTGTGATATGAGGTACTAGTATGTACTTGCGTTATGAGGTACTAGTATGTACTTGTGTTATGAGGTACTAGTATGTACTTGTGTTATGAGGTACTAGTATGTACTTGCGTTATGAGGTAACTAGTATGTACTTGTGTTATGAGGTACTATGTACTAGTATGTACTTGCATTATGTGGAACTTGTATGTACTTGTGATATGTGGTAGTAGTATGTACTTGTGTTATGAGGTCTAGTATGTACTTGCATTATGTGGTACTTGTATGTACTTGTGATATGTGGTACTAGTAGGTACTTGTGTTATGTGGTACTTGTATGTACTTGTGTTATGAGGTACAATGTACTTGTATGTACTTGTGATATGTGGTACTTGTATGTACTTGTGTTATGAGGTACTTGTATGTACTTGTGTTATGTGGTACTAGTATGTACTTATGTTATGAGGTACCTTTTCCAGGGTTCTTTGGTCAAATTTACCGATATTTCGCACCCTCCACCATTCTGTCCTAAATTTCTGGGGAGATCCCTGGTACTTGTGTTATGAGGTACTTGTATGTACCTGTGTTATGAGGTACTAGTATGTACAGTACTTGCGTTATGAGGTACTAGTATGTACTTGTGATATGAGGTACTAGTACGGGTATGCTTTGTGTGATGTTTGAAAGGGAGGAATGCATTGAGTTAAGGAATCAGCGTAACAAAAACACACCCATTACTTTTTGTAAAGGTCTACTCCGAAGTTGCTTTCCACTAAAAAAAAGGCATTTAGTTTAAGGTAGTTCAGGTAGTAAAACTAAACCTAAAACTAAAGTAGTCATTTTAGAGCTAGTATAACTTAACTGTAGACAGTTGTAGGTTGATAAAAGTTCTAATTTAAAAGTAGTCATTTAGAGCAAGTAGAACTAAACTGCAGATAGGGTAATAGGTTGATAACAGTGTATAAAAGCACTGTCATCGCGGTCTGTGCGAAATATCAGACACTTTAACATCAACACAAACGTTCTAATTTAAAAGTAGTCATTTAGAGCTAGTATATAACTTAACTGCAGATAGGGTTAGGTTGATAAAAAGTGTCTAAAAGCACTGTATGGCCTTAACTACCCCAGTAGACTGGTTTTCAATACCAGTTGACGCGGTCTGTGCGACATATCAGACACTTTCACATCAACGCAAACGTTATAATTTAAAAGTAGTCATTTAGAGCTAGTATAACTTAACTGCAGATAGGGTTAGGTTGATAAAAGTGTCTAAAAGCACTGTATGGCCTTAACTACCCCAGTAGACTGGTTTTCAATACCAGTTGACGCGGTCTGTGCGACATATCAGACACTTTCACATCAACGCAAACGTTCTAATTTAAAAGTAGTCATTTAGGGCTAGTATAACCTAACTGCAGATAGGGTTAGGTTGATAAAAAGTTGACACTAACATCAACGTTCTAATCTAAAAGTAGTCATTTAGAGCTAGTAGAACTAAACTCTAGACAGTTTTAGGTTGATGAAAGTGTCTAAAAGCACTGTATGAAAAGCAGTTCTAATTTAAATGTAGTAACTGTTATTTTAGAGCTAGAATAACTAAACTGTACAGTTGCAGGTTGATAAAAGTGTTGTCTGCCATCTAAATGTAGGCTGGTCTAATTTAGATTAGAAGTAGCCATTTCTGAGGTAGTACATGTATAACTAAAGGCTTTAAAATGTAAATCAATGCAATGTGCATGTAAACTTCTTTTCTAAGTTATTTACCTGTTCAGTCAGTCATACAAGTTAGCTGGTGTTTCGACGCACCGTGTCTTTTAGCAAAGACATCCCACGGGGAGCTCAAAGTGTGACTGAGTGTTCAGATAGTTGAGTGTTAACTGGTAACTTTCCTCTCATTCAAAGAAATTCAGACAAAAAGACAAACACACAGTTGACGTTTCTTATACTTTATTCTTAAACCTTCTGCAAGTTATTAAAGAACGCTCAAATCTCACATTTCGTACAAAATATCGTACATCACTAGTCTAATATTTTTCAGAGTTTTACAACAACTTTTTTCTGACATTCTATTCTACTCACAAAGTTTCTCCCAAAAAAAAAAATCACTAATGTACTAAGCAAGCCTGGAATCCATCCGTGAGTGCTGTGTCTCTGCTCTGTTCTTCCATTCTGACTTGTGAAGACAGAGCGGATGAAAAAAGCGGAGACACAGCGTTCACGGATGGATTCCAGTACTAAACTAGACTTATTCTACACCAATTCAATTCGTAAGTTCTCTGATTAAAAAAAAACTTTCACAACAATAATACTGACATGGAAGATCAATGAAAACATAGTCTAAGGAAAAAGTCTGTACCTTGGTTGACAAAGTTTCAGGGAGTGGATCTAGTCAGTTTTTTCTCCCAGCCCTCTGTTTTTATTTTTTTGCTACCTAACCCTTGTCCTGCGGGGCCCATATACATATATATACATATATATATATATATATGGGTTACACATACAGTACCATCTATTTAGGACCCTTTATAGGTAAGATTTGGGGTATTTCTTGTGCAATGCATCACACCACAGCGAAACACAAGGAATGCGGAAGTTATATTGTGTAAAAATGTGTAAAAAATATTGTGTAAAAAATGCCAGCAGGACAAGGGCCAAGAACCAAGGAAATAAATTGGTGTGGCCTAAACTGAAATGTATTCAAAACAACTAAGCTACGCTGGAAAGGTGCATCTAAGTCTTTCCTCACAGTAACAAATTATAGTATTCCTTACGTTTTCAAAAGTCCCCAAATGGCTGCATATAAAAATAGAGAAAACTCTTCCTTCCTCGAATAGAGGGGAGACAATGCACCTATCAATGTCATTCTTGATGGGGAAATGCATGGGGGTGGGGGGCTTTAATGGGGGGGATGCAAGTCAATGTTTCTTCGGATTAATTCTAACATAACATAACATAACAGTACTATCACTACAGACATTCAATATACAAAATAATGCTAACATCAGTCTTCACTAAACCCCCTTTGTAGCCTACATGTACTTGTGTCAGTTTTCTCTATTGCTACATTGTGACTAAGAATTGCTACAATTGCAACTGAAGGTTACAACAAGGTTTTTCTCAGATTTGCTACAAAATATCACAATTCCCCGCCAAAACTACTTTCATACAATTGTCTATCATTTCTATCTTACACATCAGTTAGATTATTGAAAAGAATCGTTCCCAAAAATTTCCTAATTTTCTTTAAGCAAAAAGATGTTAGATCCTTTTTGTGGCTCATAGAAAAGTAACAGAAACATATGGCAATACAGCATTGAATATTCACATTCAGGAATTCCTGGCTAACATTTCAAAAACTTCTTCGGCTGTTTTCTGATTAGCCCAGTTCTAAAAAAACGGGGGTAATTCAACCAGGCCGGCTATGTTGTCTACATGCAATCAGAAAATAGCACATAAAAGCTCCCAAAGACCCTGAAGACCCCCAAACCCCCAGTTTTTGGCATGCTTTTGAGGCTAGAATATTTCTTCATTTGATTACCATACATTTTGACTGGATTTTGTCTCACATATGCGTGATTCACTGGTTAAGATGCAGTCTACACAATATGTACATATGTCTAGAACATCGGTGGGAGACAAACCCAAGCACAAACTCCACATAAATATATCTACAACCATGTTTTCAGCATTTATACTGCATCACTGATAACCTAATATAGTTATCATGTCTGTAATGTGAAATTTGCTTAGTAATACATCTACATGTATCTGGCCAAATGACTGTTAATGAATTGTGTAGTTTTAATACTAGTAAACTAGTAGAGGTGAATTGGACTGTAACACTATTGCAGACAGGGGAGGCATTTGGACTGCACTATTCTTATAACCAGGGGTGCCATTTATACTGTATCACTGCCAAGTTACCATGTTTGTGATGTGAAATTTGCTTAGTAATACATCTACATTGTATATCTGTCCAAATGACTGTCAATATATGATATTATCTGTGTAGTGTTTATAAACTAGAGGTGTAACACTGTTAGTTCCAGGGGAGGCATTTGGACTATACCATTGTTACCTCCAGAGGAGGCATTTGGACTGTTCCATTGTTATAGCCAGGGGTGCCAGGCCGGGTCCATGCGGCACAGGTTGTCTGGGCTGTTGGCTGCTGCCACCAGAGTGCTGACTTTGCTCTCCCCACCCTCGAACTGCGCCAGGTCTGAAACACAACCAAAAACAACAGTTAGACATACATACAGAATTATCATCTAGACAAACCCTGTATCACAAACATGATCTGTTCCCACATTTTCCATTGTACAAAAAAGCGAGAAGAAGTTGACCACTCTGTATTAGCTCAGTAACTAGAACACTTTGTATTAGCCTAGTATAGTACCCTTGTATGTTCCTTATAAATGTATGTATGTCTTAGTCAAGTAGTGTATCTTCTGTCTCCAATTTTCTACATACGTTTGTTATGTGTCTGTTAAGTCTTGACCTGTATCTAGCCCGTCGTGGCATGAATGTACAATAAAGGTATTTCATATACCGGTAATGTTGCCTGAATGACATTGGTATTTACAATCATTACATTAAAATAAACACATAACATTATATTGCGTTACATACATACATATAATACATACATACTCCTGATATGGACTGTACATCCCAGGTATAACAAGTTCTGATTATACAGTCTGAATGTAGAGTAATGTAAAACACTAACTTACTCTCTCCCATATGTAAAACATACAAAGGAAAACTGGTATGCGATCAGTTACTCAAGCAACTGGATATGATTTTGGAAACAGACATTTCAGGTAGCATCCACTACTTTTCATCAGTGACACTGGAGACGATGCTGAAATGGCCAAACATACAAAATGCTTCTCCTTAATGCAGAATAGAAACTGCAGAAACCTAGTTATTACGTATGAGCTCCCCCTGTTGATTCAGAACTAGTACTGCAGACGACTTACTAAACTAAACGAGTCATGATGGTGTTGACAGCTTTTGTTGACCATACATGAGCCCCCCCTATGGTTTATAACAGAACTGCAGACT